TATATATATATATATATATATATTATTCGGCTGCTCTAAACCCTAAACCCTAAACCCTTGACGCACACCTCACTCCTGTACACCGCTAGGGTTTATGCGGGGGGCCAACGACCCCCCCCGTAAACCCTAAACCCTAAACCCTAAACCCTTTTTTTTTTTATTTGCTTGGCTGGCTTGAGGGATCCGGCAGCACCAGTTGCTGCTGCAGCAGGAGCTGCTGCTGCAGCAGGAGCTGCTGCTGCAGCAGGAGCTGCTGCAGCAGCAGGAGCTGCTGCTGCAGTGTGTAATAAAACTCAGCAGTTGCTGCTGCAGCAGACGTTGCTGCTGCTGTTGCAGTTACTGCTGCTGCAGTTGCTGCTGCTGCAGTTGCTGCTGTTGCTGCTGCTGCAGTTGCTGCAGCATTGGAAGCAGTTTTAGTTTGCGTATTTCTGTTGAGTTTGTCGTTACAGACAAATTTATTTCTTTTTATTAATAAATATATAAAATAAAAATAAAAAAAAATAATAAAATATTAAAAAAAACTAAAAAAAGTAATTTGTTTATAATAATAATAGTAAAATAAGAAAAATAAAAAGAAACAAAACACAAAAAACAAAACAAAACAAACAGAAAAAAACCAGTTGCTATGAGGCACAAACAAATGAAAAAATAAAAGAAATTAATTTAATTAAGTTTTAATATAATAATAAATTAAAAATAAAATAAATAAAAATATAAATTTAATTAAAGATATTATATGCCGTTTAGTATAATTAATTTCGGGTGTATATCGATCGACGAATTGCGGTGTACGCATAGAAATAAAAAAAATAATTGAATAAATAATTTAAAATAAAAGAATAAATAAATAAAAATAAAAATAAAAATAAAAATAAAATAATTTAATATATTAAACTAAATTTATATTTCATTAAAATGTGCTACAAAAAAAAAACAGAAATTTCAGCTTTCTGGTCGGCGGTGGTTACTGGGTGTATCGAGAGATTAGTATGATATATTTTATGTTTTTTTTTCGTTTTTTTTTTAATTTAATTTATTTAATTTAATATTTAATTAATTTATTTTATTTTAATTTATTTTTTTTCTCAAAATTTCGGTTTTTTATCGATAAAGTTTCACCTTCTATGCCTGGTCTGTCGATGGTCTGTCGGTTGGTATAGACGCTCAGCTGCAGCGGAGCTGCAGGGGGTGGGTGTTGCTCGAACCCCGCATTAAATTCAGAAAAATTTTAGTATTTTTATTGTAATTTGTAAATTAAAAATAAAATAAATAAAAATATTGGTTTTTAAAAACAAAAAGCGGAAAAAAAACGGAGAAAAATGACATTCTTTTGGCGCTGTGTTCAGGTGTATGCGCAGCTCAGAACACCAGGCTGCAGCCACTCACCGGTTGCATCATTTATGTATATCTTTGTGTTTTATTTTCTTTTATTTTAATATTTTAAGTTTTATTTTTTGTTTTTAATTTTATTTCCCCTCAGTTACACCTATTTACCTCCTGCTTCCCCCATATATTTAGTGGTTTCTCTGCCGGCAGCTCATCGCCTAGCAATCGGGAGCTGTATGCAGGCCAGAATATCTCTTTCTTTGCAAATTTTTATTTATTTTTTTCTTTATTTTATATTTTTATTTATTAATTTTACATAAAAAAGCTCAGTAGCGACACAGCCGCAAATCTCCTCCTTCTGGTGTATGTACTACACCTGCAACCACTGACTGCAGCAACGATGCATATCGTCAGCTGTATATGCAGCTGCACATACACCTGAGCCCCTTTTTCTTTTTCTTTTTCTCTCATATTTATTCTTTTTCTCTCATATTTATTTATTCTTATTCTCTCCCCCCCCGCTTTTTTTTTTTAGTTGCTGATGAACCCGCTGCTGCTGCCTTCTTGCTGCAATGGAGAGGAGAGAATTTCGGGTGTATGTACAGCTGCGGCGTGGCCGCCGCAGCAGCAAGCAGCAGTTGTTACTGGAGTGCAGCGGCAGCTGCTGCAGCAGCAGCAGCTTCAGCAACTGCAGCAGCTGAAGCTGCAGCAGATGCAGCAGCTGCAGCAGCTGCAGCAGCTGCAGCACATGCATGCACTAGGGGGCCTCAATCATTTCTCTTTAGAAGGATTAAGGGGTGACCTGCTGCTGCAGCAGCCGTCTCTGCTGCAGGTTAGTATTTTGTTTACTTTTTTGCTGCTGCAGTTTTAATTTTTTATGTATTTTTATTTCTTTTTCTCCTGCTGAGGCCAATGGAGTATGATCTGCTGCTGCTGCTGCTGTTGCTGCTGCTG